AATAGCAAGTCATAGACTTGGTATTACGAATAGAAACAGAATAGACGCGGAGGAGACTAGACCTAGTTGGTTGACAATAGGCCTGTTTTACCATAGATGTGGTCCATGTAGCAAAGGCTTGATCATAAGACTTACTCAGAGGCTTTAGCCTCGAATTGGTCACCCAGATTCAGGGGACATGTCATAATTCCTCGAGTAGCACAGATAGGGTGGCAGTGGTCAAGTCAAATACTTGAACCTGGGTGATAGCAGACGGATCCTACGGGGCTAGAGGGAGACTCGGACAAGACCTAGGGAAGGAGAGCTGCGTAAAAATATGGCAGACTGATCAACATTCCCAGCACAAGGGTGAAGGGGGGTGAGAACGCCAGTGGGGAGTTTGGAGGGTTCTCATGAAAGCCGCACAAGAGGGCACACCACACTAGATTTAAACAAGCAAGGAAAAAATTGTGGTAGTGAAGGCGTGATACGAGGATATAAGATTGGTGATTACTTCAGGACGGGAGGAGAGACCACGATTCTTTGGTAGATAATTAGTCAAAGGACCGGCTTCACTTGTCTCTTTGACGAGTTGTAGTATGGTGCTAAGATTGACAAAACTCACTGACGATGTGGACTACGATGCCGGCGAAGCGTCTGGGAATGTACCACGTTCACGGTCAGACTTTGGAAATTATCATACATACAATGGACTCCGGACTAGGTACGTTCCTCTAAGTCTTCCTACCAATATTACCAAGTTGCGGAAACAGCATCAGGCAATTTCGATAAGTTGTGTTGTTCCCTGAATTTGTGTAGAGTCCTTCTCTCCATCCATATTACAGATTTTGCTCCTTTTGTGGCTTAGTCATATATGTAGCCAATTTCTCTATTTTTCCCAATGGTCAGCTTTCCATAAACTCTAACAGTTTCTCCGATGCTCCGAAGAACCACTTATCGCCCTTCGGACTCCCAGTGCGCCGAATGGCGCCTCGTACCAACGTCACAGCATGGCCGAGAGCTGTGCGCGCAGTTCGTCGACATCGGCACGAGGGCTTTATGTCCTCGTCCTCCGCCTCGTCAGCTTCTTCCTTCACTTTCTCTTTCTCCACTTCGGCTGCTGGCCACAAGGGCAACGCTCCTGCTCTGGTTCAGGAAACCTGGATCGACGGCCCTCAGGCTCTACTTCCTAGTCTGGCCATCTGTAGAGCCTACTCCCCACTTCCACTGCAACCCAATAACCCGTCTTTACCTGTGGAAACAAAGCAAACAAATACTATTATGCTCCCTTCGAAGACCTCCAAAAATCGCCTTCCGGCGATCCCCGGAGCCCTAGTGACATCAGCGGACGTCATGTTGACCATAGAAACTTCTGCAGCCACAAATGATAATGTCATGATTAAATCTCTGCCTCAGTATTGTATCTCGGATCTCACGAACGAACAGGCAGAAGCCACTACTGCTTCCGATGTTCCCAAGCGCGAGCAGCAAGGAGCATTCGGCTACATCCAATTTGCAGATTCTGATAGAGTGCTAACTCAAGGAAGCCCTGAAGGACGATCGTTGCAGCTTCCCCACGTACATCACCACAAGTTCCGAAATAGCACGCCTCTTCAGCATAAGCCGGATTCGTTTATTCTGCTTTCACAAGCTTCGGATGAATCTCAGCGAGACTGTCAACATCTAGCCGACCAATGCCATGAGGCAGGAGAGGCCCTACAAACGCAACTAGAGCATCATCCCCAGCAACGAAACTGCCAGATTCCACAGCCCTATGGACCTTTCCAGAAGCCGAAAGGACCCAGCAGGACCCGCCAGACAATTCCCTGCAGTGAAACTACAGTTGCTTCAGTACATAATTCAACAGAACCTCCGAGTTCTACAAGCAATCCTTGGGCTGCGTTGAATCCATCTTCCTTCCCTCTGGAACAAACTGGTCCTTTCTCTCTTGCTCTGGTAGGCAAAAATCTTCTATTCATATTCAATACTACCAGAGGATACGAAGAGTAACTGGATTTCTATTAATCTCCTGAGATACTATTGTTGGGGAGACCTTTATTTCGTATAAAAATAGATGGAGAAGAGATAAGTAGGCTGGTCTCACCAGAAGACGATGGCTGAATCCCGTTGTACTGCAGCCGTTCGGCTTTAATACAGTATTCAGGTTGACACAGTCCAAGCGACATCATTCATCGCTTCGGGTGAAAACCGGCTGACCTTTCGTTCATCATATGATGGACATCCTCAAAGCTGGAACGCATTCTCGTAAAAGCCTCACGTTAGCATTAGATAAAGAAGATTATAGGGCTCTATCTTACCTCTTATATATACCCATAAGTAACACAAAAATGAACAGACAGCTAGATGTAGGATGGTTTGGCTAATTAGCTTTCGTACTAGTTCTTGGTGCAATAGTAGTCCTAAATCAGAGTAATCGAAAAAGCCCAATATCAGGCTCTGGTCATCAAGGCTTAATGACCCTGACTGAGACTGCATAAGTCCGTGAACAAGTATTGTTGAGATAATGAGGTATATGCTTGTGCGTAAGTCAAGTTACGAAACCACCTGTCCTAATCTCTTAGTCTAGGGTCATTAACGTTTAGCCACCCAAGGAAAGGCATAATCTCGTACATTTGGTTTGGTTGATGAGCTTAATCTAACATATTGGACGACTGTGAGTGAAGTTAGGACCATCACTAAGAAGACAAGTTGAGTCGCTTTCTTATGGATGGCGGCTTAACAGCCTCTCTTCTTTAATATATCAATCAAGCATAAGTACTTCTTACTCAACTTACTACCACCGTTTCTCACATTTAAAGTATTCCATAATCTATTAATATGGTGAATGTGAGGAACGGTGGTAGAAAGTTGAGTAGGAACTACTTATGCTTGATTGATAGATGGAAGGAGAGAGAGGGTGTTAAGCCGTCATCCAAAAGGAGGCGACTCAATTTGTCGGCTTAGTGATGGTTCCAACTTAAATAATACTCGTCCAACATGTTAGTCTTAGTCAGGGCTTTTCCCTGGGTGATGATGCCCAGAGCCTTACATTGGCCTTTTTTAATCATACTGATTTAAGACTGGTATTGCGTATAGACGTTAACTCACACGCACACTCACACACACTCACACACACTCACACACGCTCACACACATACACACACACACACACATACACACATACAT